CTCTGTCTCTTCCAATTGGTTTTTTGTTGTTTTTTTTTTTTTGTCTTTTGGTATAACTCGTAATTTTTTCTTGATAGGCAGATACCATGTACCAGGCAAAAGGAACTGCTGTAAGTAGCCTTTAGTAAGGAACATGGTGGTGAAATGCAGGAGGGCGAGGAAGCACTCTAGAGTTCTATGGTTAGATCTCTGTCTTTTCATGAGCCTATGCCTCTGGACTGTGAACTTCACAAGTATTTCTCAGGTTTTCTTCTCCCCCTTTATGTAGGATAGGGTGGCTCAAGTGGGCTGCAGCTGGGTATTTCCCTTCCTCCAGGTTAGCCTGTGATAATAACCCAGCAGGTTAGGCTCCCATTAACTAGTTTCCCCTCGGGGTTAGGCTTGTTAAGAACACAGTGCTCTGGGTATGTCAAAATGGTTACTTTCCCTCTCCCTGTGATGCAAGGGAGGAGGGGAGTTTCTCTGATTTTCACTGAGGATGAGCTAGGGCTCCTAGATATAAAGCTGACAATCTTGTGCGGGCCCCTCCCACTGGCTCTCCCTGGAGTCTCTACTGACTTTAGGAACTCATCCTTACAGTTCAGGTTTTTCTCCCTGGCACTGGTTCCCAGAGCAGTTTCCATTCGAGAGTCTGTCCTCCCTTATTCCCTGTACATGTCTCTCTCTCGTACCTGTCTTGGGGGCAGCAGTTGCCCTGTGTCCCCCTCTCTCTTATGGCTTCAAGGGGAGCTGTTGATTTTTCAGTGTGCCCACTTTTTTACTTGTTGTTAGGATGGACTAACAACAAGTTAGTTAGCTTGGATAGTCCAAGCTCCTACATGCAGAAGCACACACAGGCTTTCAACACCGGGCATCTGCAGCCCTGGTCTCCCCCCCTCAGCCCACCCTACACCAAGCAGACACAGTGGAGGCTGAGCGTCAGGAAGAACTGGCTCTCAAGTCTGCTTCTCACTAGCTGTGTGATCCTGGGCAAGAAACATCACATCTCAGCTTCAGACTCCCTGTCTTTGAAAGATACCACTTATGACCTCAAAGGACCGACTTAAAGTGGATTAGAAGAGGTTATAAATGGTTCAGCACTGAGGCCTGGACTATACTTAATAATCTTTTGTTAAAGGAATAGAAGCCTTATCTTCACGGTTACATTACTTCCAGAACTTGCTTTTATCAGACCAAATCTGTATTCAGAAGCCTCAAAACCAGTCCCTAAACTGCAAGCTTTAAACTCCAGTCACCTGTAGCAGCCACTGCCTGGATCCTCCTTAGGCCTGGAAATACTGTTTTGGGGTGGTTTGTCCATGTGCATGCTTTTTTTAAATCTCCCCAACTGGAATTTAAATTCCAAAGAACAGGGACCCAATTCATAACACTTTGCCAGTACCAGGATCTCAATTTTTGATCAGGGGGCACCTGGGTGCTTGGTCGGTTAAGCGTCTGAGCTCTTGATTTTAGCTCAGGTCATGGTCTCACAGTTTGTGAGCTCGAACCCTATGTTGAGCTCTGTACAGACAGCACAGACCCTGCTTGAGATTCTCTCTCGCTCTCTCTCTGCCCCTCCCCTGCATTTGTGCACACATTCTCTCTCAAAACAAATAAATAAAAACTTAAAAAAAATTTTTTTTGATCAGGAGGAAGAGGAAGTAGGGTGGTGCTGGGTGTGGGGCAGTCAAAAAATCAAGCTAGGACAGAGAATGATGCCTCAAATACAGTAATATGATAACACCTATATAACATTGAGCAGAACCCAAAATGTCCAGACCTCTTGCCTGGTGGCAAGACTTTTTAAAAAGAACAGAAATTGAATTACATGTGGTTAGGTGGTATATGGAAACCCCCAGCTATAACATGGAGAGTCATATATCTGGGCAATAAGAAATACAACAACAGCATGTTTCCCTGATTTGGACAGAAATATCAGGCCTGCATGACAGTTACAATAATAATAATAATGAAAATACACAAATACTGATTATGTGAGAAACACCATCCTAAGCACATTAAATAAAGTATCTCACTTAATCCCCATAGAAACCCCCGAGGTTGGTACTAGTTTTACTCCCATTTTATAGATTGGGACACTGAGGCTTTAGGGCATCAACTGACTTGTGTAGGGCTTCCCAGCTCATAGGAAGAGAGCAGAGACTCTACATATTCCAGGCTTCTGAGACCTGCTGACCTTACAGTCCACATTCTCTCCCTCCGTGGCCTCCTTGCTCTTCCTAGAATACACCAGGCACACTCCTTTCTCAGGCCTTTGCACCTGCTGTCCTGGGAATGCTCTCCTACCGATGCCCACACAGCTGGCTCCCTCAACCCCTTCAGATCTCACTCAGGGAACCCTCACTTGAGCAGCCTAGCCAACACTGCTGTCCTCCAGATGTTCCCATCCCCCCTTCTACCTGATTTTCCCCTGCACATTTACACCTCCTGGCATACTACACACGCCACCTATTTACTTGTTTACTCCTGGTGACAGGGATTTGTGTCTGTTGTTCCTTGCTGCATCCTGATACCCACAGCAGTGCCTGGTGCACGAGCAGACCCTCCGGACATACTTGCTGGATGAAGGGATGGACTTACCTCACGTCATTGCCACCATGAGCAAAGGATCCAAAACAGGCAGTAAGGACTTGCAGGAAATGGAACAGGAGGTGGACCTCGGCTGTGTCCTTCTCCTCCTTCTCCTCTTCTGCAGGGTCGTCTCGGGGCTGGTCAGGATCCGTCAGCTCAGATGCCAGCTTCATTTCCACACCTCCCTCATCGGCCTCTATCTCAGCTTCTGCTACCGCATTGCAGTAGCTTGAGTAGCTGTCATAGCGAAGCCTCTTTTTAGAATAGGACACGGCGTCCCCCACCAGCTTCTCGCTGTCCTCTGGCGCAGATGACGAGTCAGCAGCTTTGAAGGTCGAGTGGACAGGCATTCCACAGATGGCTGCCGTGTAGCATGTGTAACTGTTATTTCGCCGCAGAAATCGGTAGTTGTTCTCCTGTGCGGGCCTCTCCTCGGGGCCCCTGTCTGAGTGAATCCTGTGCAGCAAGTCTTTGTAGAGCCCCGAGTCTTTGTGCACCGTGTGGTACACGTGCCCGTCACTCCTCGTGTGGCCGTCAAAGCCGAAGGTGCCGTTGGAGACGGGTGATTTTGCAGAGCCGTGAGTCATGGAAAGTGCCCTTCCTGAAACGGGTTAAAAGGAGTCTTATTTGCTAGCTTTTGAATATAAATCGTTTCTGTAAGGCAATATCCCTCATCCTTTATGGTGGTGATCTCTGGAAATTTGGGTTATGGATGATTTTCAATCTTTTTCCACATGCTTTATTTTCCAAATTAACTATAAAGAGCATGCAATACAGTTAAAATGAAAAAGGGAACTTGGAACATACAACACATGGGCAAAACTTTGAAAGTGATGTTATTTAAGTTCTCCTAAAAAGCATCTTCCAGGGGCGCCTGGGTGGCTCAGTTGGTTAAGTGTCCGACTTCGGCTCAGGTCATGATCTCACTGCTTGTGAGTTCGAGCCCCGTGTCAGGCTCTGGGGCTCTGTGCTGACAGCTCAGCGCCTGGAGCCTGCTTCGGATACTGTCTCCCTCTCTCTCTGCTCCTTCCCCACTCACACGCTGTCTCTCTCTCTCAAAAATGAATAAACATTTTTTAAAAAGCATCTTCCAGAAATGACTATGGCACTCTTTCCTGTTTCTAGTAACCAATAAAGGAAGAATCTTTATAAGGAACTTATTTGAGGAAAACTTCATGCGTGAGGGACAAAATCCAGTTCGCTATGAGATAGATTTGTAGGTGCTCCTTAAAGGCCAATCATAAATGTCAAAGGCAGTTATCTGTCAGATCAGCGGAGCAAAATTCATTTGCTTTCTTTGGGTCAAGTCTGAGACCGCACCTATGGGAAGTGAAAGCAGGTGCCAAGGCCCCACCTTGCAGGGAGGCGGGAAGCTGTCCCAACAGGCCTGGCAGAGGCTGGTGCTCACCCATCTTTAACCACAAATGTTACGAGACAAAAGAACCCCCAAGACGGCAGGACAGTCTTGACGTTTTTTGAGGTTTCTGTGATGCTACACTAGGCTTTCTCTTTATGTCCTCCATGCGGAAGGCATGCTTAGCAAGCTGGAAAAGCCAATCTTTGGCAACCAGGAAACTGCAACATGGAAGACGCAGGTGCAGTTGACTGAGCTGCAGAGAGGTGGTGTGTGGGCCCTGGTGCCGTTGATGAGACTATAAACATCTCTTGGAAGAAAACCACAGGACCAGAGTGAGCTTGCTCTGTTGACTGCATGGTCTTCTGAGACCTCTTTAGCCCCTGGACTACCCCAAAACATAAAACTGAGGGACACTTTTGTGCATTAAAACCTAACCACCCATGGGGCGCCTGGGTGGCTCAGTTGGTTAAGCCTCCAACTTCAGCTCAGGTCATGATCTCGTGGTTCACAAGTTCAAGCCCCGAGTCAGACTCTGCGCAGACAGCTCAGAGCCTGGAGTCTGTTTCAGATTCTGTGTCTCCCTCTCTCTCTCTGCCCTCCCCCCACCCATACTCTGCCTCTTTCTCCCTCTTTCTCAAAAACAAATAAACATTAAAAAAATTTTTTTAATATATAAATAAAACCTAATCACCCACAGGCAGCCTGGCTGGTGTCCCCTGCTCACTGGCCCCCTAGGAACTGCTCTCTACCACCATGGAAACCCCACACCCTCTGTGCACACCTTACCATAGGAGGCCCGGGGGTGGTTTCCCACTGATGTGCCTTCAGAGGTTCCAGATGGCTCCCCAGCTGAGCCCGTGAGAGGGACAGTGCTGTCGTCATTAGCCTTGGCACCTGGTAGCTCTTTAAATACTGGGGACTCCACTTCCTGAATTTTACTGAGGCTTTCGTCAGAAACTCGCGATAAAGCAGCTTCTTTTTGTAATTTGCCTAAAGAAAATATAGGTATAACTGAAAATTCTGAAATTAGAGATCTTGTTATTGAAAAGCGAATATAAAAGTGAGCATTTATCTTTATACTTTAGTATTTAACTTTGAAAATGAAAAAATAGTTATAGCTAAATAGAAAAAATGAAGAGGAGACTTCAATCAATTATCTGGGAAACTCAAGCCAGAAAATTCAGCTACTGAGGACAAGAGGGGTAGGCTCAGGCCTCAATTATCTCCTTCAAAACCAACAAACTGAGAGGGCTAGATGCGGTCCCCACAGTCCCTTCCACCACTAGTACTCTGTAATCCTACGACCATCTGGACTGGCCTTCTATTTTCTTAAACTAACCTCAAAATCACTGAAATGTTTATCCTTTTTGTCTTCAGAGATATTAGTTATAGTCTGTTTGGTTTTCTTCTGTTCAATAAATTACTGGTCTCTGATTTCTCCAGGTCACCAAATCTTAGAAAACAAGTAAATCATTTTCCAAAAAGGAACAGAGAGATCCTAATTACTTTTAAAAATCTTTAACTTTCAAAAGATAATTTTTTTAAAAAAAGCTGCTTTAAAGCTCTATAGGATTCTTTTTAATCAGATCTTATATGTGGTGCTGATTTAATGATCTTGCTGCTTGTAGATTCTCCTGGGCAAATTTCTAAGCTCTCACCTACAGAACTAAAATGGAAGTATTCTTCTCTGCTGGATATACTCACATAATCCTGTCACCTCCCTGTATCCACGTACACAGTCAGAAATACAGACAGATTTTTTTTTTTTTTTTTTTTTTTTTTTTTTTTTTTTTTAGATCTTGGACCTTAAGGTGCTTATAATCAAAATGAGAGAAGACAATATTTGTAAAGATTACAACAATTAAGCAAAAATTGTTAATGCTTACATGAGACAGGTTTTATTATTTTCTGCTTTTTATTAATGAGCAAACTGAAGTACACAGAGAGATTAAGTCATTTGCCCAGAACCACACAGGTGGTAAAATGCAGGCATTTTAGCTCTATGGTCCATGACCTTAATCACTAGTGTATACTTAAAATATTAGACCAAGAAATATATATTGAACTAACAAAATATGGCATTGATAAAACAAAATCTCCTCAGAAGCCTATTGGGAGCAATACCAGTTTCCTGCTGTTATAGCATTAAGCTGGAAAGCAAAGATTTTATAGTCTATTCGGCAAGAAAGCTATTAGGAAAAGCCTTTAAAAATCAAAACATTTAGTGGGGCGCCTGGGTGGCTCAGTTGGTTAAGCGTCCGACTTTGGCTCAGGTCATGATCTCACAGTTCGTGGGTTTGAGCTCCCTGTCAGGCTCTGTGCTGACCATTCAGAGCCTGGATGGAGCCTTCAGATTCTGTATCTCCTTCTCTCTCTGCCCCTTCCCTGCTCGTGCTTTGTGTCTTTCTCTCTCTCAAAATAATAAGTAAAAACATTTAAAAAAATGTTTAAAAAATCAAAGCACTGAAGTATAGTTGATCATTCCCATGGGTTAAACCAGACAAGCAGTATGTTTGAGGGGCTCATCTTCAGTTAGTAGTCTGTATGAATGGTGGAGGGATAGTTATTTTCAGCAGAGAGCAGGGAGCAGCTACACAGGAGAAGCAGCAGCAATTCATCCAGCCATTATTAAATTTTTTTTTTTAACGTTTATTTATTTTGAGACAGAGAGAGACAGAGCATGAACAGGGGAGGGGCATAGAGAGAGGGAGACACAGAATCTGAAACAGGCTCCGGGCTCTGAGCTGTCAGCACAGAGCCCGACGCGGGGCTCGAACTCACGGACCGTGAGATCATGACCTGAGCTGAAGTCAGACACATAACCAACTGAGCCACCCAGGCGCCCCCATCCAGCCATTATTGATGTGGCTTTACTATTTAGTCTGAAGTTGTATGTATTAATGTGGATCTTTTTAATTTGTGTTTTAAAATTTACATGCAGTGAACTATGTATTTGTGTGCCCATCCTGATTCTAAGACATGTCTAGACTCATGTAACCCTCACCACAATCAGGATACAGAAAAGTTCTATCACCTCCCAAAGCTCTCCTGGTAGTAAGACCCACTGCCCAGCTCCTTGGCAATCACTGACCTGGTCTCTTCCCGTGTTCTGTCTTTTTCAGAATGTCATATAAATGAAACCATAAACTTTGTATTTTTATAAAATTTTTAAAATGGAAAAAACTTCTATGAGTGGGTGAAACAAAGAATTTTTAGATGTGACACCCAAAACACAATTTATAAAAAAAGAAGTTGTGGGGCCCCTGGGTGGCTCAGTTGGTTGAGGGTCCAACTCTCGATTTCGGCTCAGGTCATGATCCCAGGGTTATGGGATCAAGCCCTGTGTTGGGTTCTGTGCTGTGAAGCCTGCTTGAGATTCTCTCTCCTTCTGCCCCTCTCCCCCATTCGTGCTCATCCTCTCTTTATATAAAAAAAATAAATAAAAATTAAAAAAAGTTGATAAATGGCACTTCATCAAAATTAAAACTACTGTTCTGTGAAAAACACTATTAAGGGAATGAAAAGACAATCTACAGATTAGAAGTGTTTACAAATCCCCTGACAAAGGACTTGTATTCAGAATATATAGAGAAATCTTCAAGAATATTGCAGTGAAAAAATGAGCAAAAAATTTGGACACTTCATCAGTAGAGCTATATAAATGGCAAATAAGTCTATGAAAAGGTACTCCACATCGCTAGTCATCACAGAAGTACAAACTGAAATCATGAGATACCATAGACACCAATTTGAATGTCTCCAAAACAATGGGCAAATTTTATGTATTTTATTTTTTTCCCTAAAAGTCTTCTCATTTTCTATTTTTGTTTAAATCTATGCTATGCTTTGAGTTAGTTTTTTTGTTTGTTTTTTTTACAGGTGTAAGGCTTAAGTCAAGGTTCTTTTTTTGGCATACAGATGTCCGAATATTCCAATACCATTTGTTGAAAGATGATTCTTTCTCCACTGAAGTGCCTCTGTACTTTGTTAAAAATCAACGTGCCAGATTTGTGTGGGTCTATTTCTAGACTCGAGTTCTGTTCTATTAATGTGGATGTCCATCTCTTCACTAATACCACACAGTCTGGTCACTTTATATTAATTCTTTGAGTAAAGTAGTATGAATCTTCCAACTCTGTTCTTTTTCAAAAGTGTTTTGGCTATTCTAGTTCCTTTTCCTTTCAATATAGATTTTACTTTTTTTTTTTTTAATGTTTTATTTATTCTTGAGAGAGAGACAGAACATGAATGAGGGAGGGGCACAATGAAAGAGGGAGACACAGAATCCGAAGCAGACTCCAGGCTCTGAGCTGTCAGCACAGAGCCCGACATGGGGTTTGAACTCACGAGCTGTGAGATCATGACCTGAGCCAAAGTCGGATGCTCAACCGACTGAGCCACCCAGGTGCCCCTCAATATAGATTTTAAAAGCAGCTTGTCTAAATCTACAAAATAACCTGCTTGGATTTTAACTTCAACTGTGTTAAATCTAGAGAACAATTTGACAAGAACTGACATCTTAATGATACTGAATCTTCTAATTCGTGAACATGGTATGTCTCATTTGTTCTGTTCTTCTTTGGAATATGGATTTTCAAACTGAGATATGTCCACACTGAAACAGGATCGTAAGGCACACTCTGAGGCTGAAAGTAAATACTTCTTTTCATCTGAGAGCCCTGTAACAGCATGTGGCCTTAAGGCTTAGAACTATGTTGCTAAGGACAGAATAGTAGCTCTTGTAGCTTTCTGATCCATATTCTTCTTTTTGAAAAATTCTGTTGAAATATGATTTATACACAATAAAATTCATACATTTTAAACGTGCAGACAGATGACCTGTGATGGATGAGTACACCCTATAAACACTACCACAGCTGGGACAGAGAACACTTCCATTTCCATGTCCCGGGAACGTTCCCATGTTCCCCTTTGCCATTAGTCTCCTGGAAACCCCCACCATCTCCAGCACCTAGTGCTTTCTATCGCTATAGATTAATTTTCCCTGGAATCATATAGGATGTACTATTTTGTATCTGGCTTCTTTTACTCAACATAATGTCTGTGAAATTCATTATACTGTGGTTAGTTCATTCTCTTTATAGCTATGGAGGCTTGAATTGCATGAATATATCACAATTTGGTTATCCTTTCACCTATTTAGGAACATTTGGGTTGTTTCTAGTTTCTGGTTGTTATGACAAAATGATTATATACAAGTCTTTCTATGAACATATGTATTTTTTATTTCTTTATGTGTATTTATTTTTGAGAGAGAGAGAGAGAGACAGAGACAGAGACAGAGTGCAAGTCCGGGAGGGGCAGACAGAGAGGGAGACACAGAATCTGAAGCAGGCTCCAGGCTCTGAGCTGTCAGCACAGAGCCCGACGTGGAGCTCAAACCCATGAACCATGAGATCATGACCTAGCTGAAGTCACACACAACCAACTGAGCCACCCAGGTGCCCCTATGAATGTACATTTTCATTTCTCTTGGATAAATATCTAGGAGTAGAATTACTGGGTCATGTGGTAAATGTATGTCTAACTTGACAGGAAACTTCAAATTTCCAAGTGGTTGTACCATTTTATATTTCACCATAAACGTCTGAAAATTCTAGTTATTCTTCATCAATATTTTGAAATGTTAGTCTGTTTACTTTTAACCATTCCTGTGGATGTGAATGGATGGATATCTTACTGTGTTATTAATCTGCATTTCCCTGAAGACTAATGCTTTTCATGGGGCTGGTAGAACCTGACCAGTAGTTAACTTCCAGTCATATGAGGCAACCAGGACCTTACTGCTCATTCCAGTCACAAGTTACCAAGAAAAAGTCTGAGCCAGAAAGCAGTTAGGAGCCAAGAGACAAGGATGGGGCACGTATCTCAGTGCTATGTTCTAGGGTTATTCATGCATCCAGTTCCCTCTGTTAGTAAGGGTAATTGTGGATTACACCTGAAGCCCCAGGAACCAGGATTTTTGTACACCAGAAGAATAAAAAAGCCCTTACCTGCTATTTTCCTCCGCATCCATGGACACACAAAGAGCCATACAAAAAGGGCAAACAGCAGTGCAACACCAAAGGAGATGAGTGCTATTGCCCATATGGGAAGGACCAGACCAAGCACTGGAAAGTAAAGAGGACAGTGGTGTTGTCGGTGGATACTTTCTGAAAGGTCATGCTCATATCAACATACTTTACATTCCCCAAATCCAAAACTAATCACCTGGGTTTTGTATTTAATAAAACTTTCAACCAAAACAATGTGCTATAGTTTTTGGGGTAGAAAGCTGTCTCTGGAACGTTCCCATGTGCCCTGTGTTTAAGACACACTATACCTTGTCAATATGTGGTTAAACTGAGTAGTAAGCTAACTATTACAATTTTATCAATGTGGCACAAACAGCATATTAAATTGGAATAAAACCATTTACATATTATTTCAATATCTAAGTTACAGAGTTCCGGAGTGGACCATATATAGCTAAGAAAGGACGCTGTCGTCTTCTGTCCTGACATCAGCCCACTCCCATGGCAGTGAGCAGCTGAGGTCTGGAACCCTGCACCAGGCTGCTGACTGCTGCCTCTTTGGGTTTCTCAGTAGTCAGCAGCTCTGCTTTAAATGGCCATGACACTCTAACCACATACACAAACCTTTTTAAAGTCAGCTTGGAGATAAAAGTTCTATAAAAGGACATTGACCTCCAAATTTAACTGTTCTTTGAATTGTCAACTCATGTAATTATAGAAAAACTTTTCATTAAAATTCAATAATGCATACTAAGTTGCAATTACATTAGCCAATAAAAGGGCAGAAGGGCACATGGTTTAGGAGCATCATATTTTCCTGGCACTGCATTCCAGAACTCATCACTCCGAATTTTGTCCATTTTCTGGCACTGGTGGCAACAGGCACATTTCACACACATTCACAGGTTTACAGCTTAAACATGCATGCTTGCACAGAAACAAAGATATGTGTACAAGAACACTTACTAATGGCTTTATTTGTAACAGTAAGACTGTGCAAGACAACTAATATGTGCATCATTATGGAAATGTGTAATAATTATAGGACAGAGTCACATAAATGAGATAGATCTATATATACTGATAAGGAAAGAGGCCTATGATCTAGTAAGTAAGAAGGGGTGCCTGGAGTACTATACTCCAATTTATGTTGTTGGTTTTTTTTAAGATTTTATTTTTAAGTAATCTCTACACCCAACATGGGGCTTGAATTTACAATCCCACCCCAGATCAAGAGTTGCATGTTCTATCAACTGAGCCAGCCAGGCACCCCCAATTTATGTTTTTTAAAAAAACCCATATTGGGGACACCTGGGTGGCTCAGTCAGTTAAGCCTCCTACTCTGGACTTTGGCTCAGGTCATGATCTCACGGTTCGCGATATGGAGCCCCACATCGGGTTCTGTGCTACCAGTGTGGAGCCTGCTTGGCTCCACAGTGTGGGCAGTGTGGGCAGATTCTCTCTCTCCCTCTCTCTGCCCCTCCCCTGCTCGTGCTCTGTCTCTCTCTCTCTCTCTCTCTCTCAAAATAAATAAATAAAATATATTTCTACTCCTACCATATGAACAAATGTATAGAAAAAGTTCTGGAATGATACAATGGTTAATCCTATAGGGACATAAGAAATCGGAGAGGGCTTTCACTTCTTACTACATACACTTTTGTACTGTTAACTTTGAAAACATAAGCATGTCACTTCTGTAAACTGTTAAACATGTTTTAAAAGTTTTAAAGGAATGAACTAGTTAAAACTTTGCTCTTTGCTCTTAGATTAAATAAATCTTTAATGATGCAGGCTTTATTACACTGTTAACCATTTTATATATACAAACACACTCAAAGCTATTCGATTAAGGGATTATTAAACATTTTGGTAACTGTAAGAGGTAGAACAGATAGGTAATACTATAAGTGAGAGTCAGGATTAGCATATACACATACGAAAAACAAAAAACCTGAATCACCGACCTTAATTATAGCTAAGGTGTTACTGGTGGGAGTACAGATGCTTTAGGGGCTAGATTATCTGAATCACTCGTAACACGCACTCTGACATCAGAAAGCTATGGACACCCTGGGGCTGCACCACGTTAGCCGGCAGCCTGGCTCCAGCCCTGGCTCTGCCTCTAAGTCTGACCCTTGTAAAATCACTCAGGCTCACCCCACCAGGCTGTGCCTGTGGGCCACCGCTTCCTGGCTTCTGCTTTAGAACTTCACATCAGTGTCTTAACACATGTGAGAAGAGCTCACACCAGAGCTGTTTCTTGCCAAACTGAATAGTAACTGCTAATTAGCAACACCAAACTGATCAACTAACATCAATACCAATCACTCTTACAGCTTAAAAGTATATGGTTTCCAGGGTAACCTGCGGCTCTGTCAGTTCTACAGTCCATTTCTGCCTCAGTCATGATCTGGCGGCCCTCAGCCTCGCTGCTGGGCTCTGTGCAGACAGCTCAGATGGGAGCCTGTTTCAGATTCTGTGTCTCCCTCTCTCTGCCCTCCCCTGCCTACATGCTCTGTCTCTCTCTCTGTCTCAGAAACAAATAAACGCTAAAAAAAAAAAAAAAAAAAAAAAAAAAAAGTATTTGGTTTCCGAAGAGGTTTCCTTTGTGCTTCCTGGGTTAGTTGATGATAAAACGGTTTAACTGTGCTACTTTTAGTTTCATTGTATTAATCTAAGAGAGGCAAGCCCTGGATACGGTGGGAAGAGAGAAATAATTTGGGATATATATATATATATATATATATATATATGGAGATATTTAAAATATCTATATATAGATTTAAGATATTTATACATAGATAATAATCTTTCTTTCTATAATGTACCTATCTATCCATAATCTATTTATTTTATTTTTTATTTTTAAAAATTTACATCCAAATTAGTTAGCAGTGTAACAATGATTTCAGACCTTTAATTCCCTTACCTAGCCTATCCCCTCCCATAACCCTCCAGTAACCCTCAGTTTGCTCTCCATATTTATGAGTCTCTTCTGTTTTGTCTCTTCCCTTCCTTTATGTTCATCTGGTTTGTCTCTTAAAGTCCTCATATAATTGAAGTCATATGATTTTGCCTTTCTTGACTAATTTCACCATTACCCTCCAGTTCTATCCACGCGGGTTGCAAACGGATTCACATTCTTTTTGATTGCTCAGTAATACCCATTGTATATAACATCTTTATCCATTCATCCATCGGGATGGACATTTGGGCTCTTTCCATACTTTGGCTATTGTGGATAGTGCTGCTATAAACATGGGGGTTGCGGGGCGCCTGGGTGGCGCAGTCGGTTAAGCGTCCGACTTCAGCCAGGTCACGATTCGCTGCCTTATGAGTTCGAAAGCCCCTGCTGCTCTGGGCTGATGGCTCAGAGCTCTGGAGCCTGTTTCCTGTGTTCTCTCTCTCTGCCCCCCTCCCTGCTCACATGCTCTGTCTCTCTCTCTGTCCCAAAAATAAATAAACGTTGAAAAAAAAAAAAAAATTTAAACATGGGGGTTGCATGTGTCCCTTTGAAACAGCACACCTGTACCCTGTGGATAAATGCCTAGTAGTGTAATTGCTGGGTCATAGGGTAGTTCTATTTTTAGTTTTTTGAGGAACCTCCATACTATTTTCCAGAGTGGCTGCACCAGCTTGCATTCCCATAATCTATCTATTTTAGATGAGTGAACACGTTTGCTCTAGGACACTATTTTTTTCCATCCATGCTGAGCAGAGCCCAAAATAAAAGCAGACAAGGGTTGCTCTAGATGTTCCTTCCATGCCTATCTCCATGCTTTCTGTTGGGGTCCCTTGGGATTCTCAAGGTGTCAGGACCAACATCCAAGAAAGAGAAACTGAGGTTGGTTATAAGAGTTTGACCCCTGGTGTAGACAATAAGCCACACTATCACTTGCTCTTTGTAATTCTAGCATCACAACCTCTTTTGCCATCAGTTTGGCCTGGGAAGTGGCCAGAAAGCTCTGAAGTCACCCTCCTAAGTCACAAGAAACTGGAAAGGAGAGTAGGGGATAAACCCATCACTGAGGGTGGAAGCTGGGGAGAAAGAGTAAAACATCCAGGAGGAAAAAGAACAAAGGCGTGCAGAAAAATGGGGACAGTTGTTGATGATGAGAGCAGAGGGGAACAGGATGGGGAAAGAATGTGGATCTGACCAAATTATTCCAGCAATTTAGTAATGTGACAGGGCAGCAAAAGAACACAAGGATTCACTTTTAAAACCAGCATATAAGAAATGTGAACTGACAGTTATGTTACACAGCTGTAATTTGTACAAATATATAAAATCAAGTTTCATGGATAAAAAAACAAACACAAAAATTCAGTGTAGAAAGGCAGTTGAATCAATGTGCATCCAAGGCAAAACTTCTGACAAAAATACTCTGCATTGTCTTCCTGTGAGTACCTAAATTATTTTCCAATAATCACACCTTAAGTTGGCAATAAAATATGGCGCGCCTCTTCACTCTGTGGATAGGCAAAGTAGGACACGGCATGAATTGCTCCATTCCCTCAGCCAAAAGTGGCTGCCAGGAGCCGACACCAGGGGCTACGAGTCCCAGCCCTCTGCTCCACACACACAACAGCCTTTCAGCTCAAGCTCCTTCCATTTTCGCAACAGTTAAGACATGATGAACAGTGATTTAGGTCTAACCTCAAACATCTTTAAAATTCTATTTCAAATCCCCCCAAGATCAGACTACGCAAGAGACTTAGGAAGTAAACAGTCTTCCAATGTCATTACTTTGTTACACCTCTCATTTTTCATACATGACAGCATTATTAGAATCTATAAAATGAATAAAACTTCCAAAGGTCATTGACCTATATTTCTTCCCTTATATTCCTACTCCTTAGCTTCTCTCTACAGCCTTTCTTCTCTATTTTAATTTATAAAATTAAAATGACTAAATTTAAATTAAAACATTAAATCATTAAATTATTATTAAATTTATAAAATTAATTTATAAAATAATATGTGCTTATTATTAAAAAAGCAGTACAAAACTGTATGATGTACAGATATGAAAATAGCTCATTACTCTTCCCTCTTGAACCTACTTTCTAGAGAAATACTGTTAACTCCGTGGCATGTTTCCTTCCAGGTATTTTCTAAATATAAACACACAATGTAGAATGTTTTTGAGAATCTCTTTTTTCCTTTAAAAAAAGTTAATGGATGTACAATCATACTGTATATATTCTGTGATTTCATTTCCCACATACAATATATCAATATATTGTGGGTATCTTTCCACAGTCTCACACACATGCACACACACACACGCACACACATACACACACGTGTGCGCGCGTTTACCGTACTTGCAGATGCTGATGCTGCTGCACTTTGACTTAGAAGTTACATATGATCACCAGAGGCTTAATTAGGCTATCAGCTCTGACCACTCAAAGAAGCATGCAACAAATTTCAGTTCTCATTCTTTAAAAACTGAACAAAGCCAGGTCCCACACAACTGAAGACTTTTTCATTAAAAATAAACCTCAGGCTTGTATCCAACCCAAGTGAGCACTTTATTTCCCAAAGTTATTTTTGCTTCTTGCAAATTATTTTTTTAAGGACAAAAATGCAGAGGCAATGTTTTAAAGTGGTCAGTCTTTGAAGTAGAAGAATGACTTTTGAGAAAACTTGTGTCAAATGCAAATAAATCAAACTAAGCCTAAGATATAAACAACTTCAAAATAATTGAGAAGGAGGAGCGAGGAAATCAAAACAAAGCCCTAGAGCTCAACAGCCAATGAGTCCCACTGAAGTCATGTCCATGCATAAATATGCTATTTATCAAAAGCTCTTACAGCTGAAACAGGGTAAGATTAATGTTGCTACTCCTTTTTGTTAGAGATTTTCATTTTTTCCTTTTACCTCTGAGGCACCTATGTGTTGAATGGAAATATTCTAAGGAAGGAAGGAAACAAGGAAGAATAAATTCCAGACTGGCAGGAAGGCAGACCTATTCTGAAAGGAGAGTGACCGAGTCACTGTTGAAGGGACCGTTCTTATCACCAAATATGACACCACAGCTATCAGGCAGCAAGGCCCCACGTGAGGAAGTAGTAGGTAATTACAGTCTAGTTTGAAAGGCAAAAGTTAACTTTTGTTTAACTAAAAATAAGATCTGGACTCATCTACTGGATATTCTAAAAACATGCCCCTGGAGCAAAAATATTAGCAAAATCCTTTTCTGACTTAGTGGGGAAACAAAATGGCTGGTCCTTCAGAGTCATGACTTACTTTTCTTTCCTTCTCCACTAGGCAAGCCCCCCTGGAAAACTTCAAGTAAGCTTTCCAAACCAACATGTGTGGAAAAAATAAAAGGATGACTCAGGATATGCTGGCAACTTAAGGTGGAAAAGATGAGGCTACTTATGATTGATAGCAATGAAATGGCTGCTATCATGGATTAAGATGGTCTATGGGCCAGGCACTGTGTTCAGCATCTGCCCGCATTATCTCACATAACGTGGTGTTGCTTTCACAGAAGTCCTCCTACTGCCCTTACTTTATAATGATGCACAGAGGCTCAGGGAGGTGAGGAGATGTGACATTCCTGATAGCACAGCTGCCAACCGAAGTCCTTAACATTAGCTCTAGCACTGGGAATACTGTTTGTGCTTTCAAATGAGTAATGATCTTCAAAATTCTTGTACAGGTTTTTTAATATTCCTAATGAATGAGGTAGCCACTCTCTTTACACTACCTGCATTAAATATATACAAAACATATATAGCCAGGTTTCCAAATATATTAGAATCCATTTTTTTAAAGCGTTTGTTTGTTTTGAAAGAGAGAGTGCACGAGCAGGGGAGGGCAGAGAGAGAGAGAGAGAGAGAGAGAGAGAGAGAGCGAGAGAGGGAGAGAGAGAATCCCAAGCAGGCTCCTTGCTGTCAGTGCAGAACCTGACAGGGGGCTCCAACTCACGAACCAGGAGATCATGACCTGAGCCAAGATCAAGAGTCAAACGCTTAACCAACTGAGCCACCCAGGTACCTCTAGAAGCCATTTTTAAACAGAGTGAAGAGAAGAGAAAGAACATATTAAGGTTGGTGCATTCTGACTGTTATTAACAGTGACATGAGGGACCAGGTACTATATACTAGGTGTCTAACCTGTGCCATGTCATGTGTTGGTCAGTGTACTGTCATCACGCAGAGCCTGGGGCTCAGAACTAGGATTCTCTACCTGACTAGTTATATGCCCTTGGAAATTCAGCATTGCCACGCTTCACTTTCCTGTCTGCATTACCAGTTTCCCGGAGGACTTCAGAGGACCAAAAGGATTCATGTAAAACTCAACTCACTAAAACTTAGCATTTACATTATTTATTTCTTACAACCTCTCTATGAAGTATTGATATTATCTTTAGTGCCTCATCTGTCATATAGTTTAACTTTCTCTAGAATAATTTACCATCCCAGTCAGAATGGTACCATACCAGAATTACCATACCATTTGCAAATCTGCAGTAAAACTGCAGCAAAAGATGAGGAAATGAAAAAAAAGAGATGGAAAAAATGAGGCCAACTACAGAAAAAGGCAAATTTTAATAAAAATCACAGTTGACTTCTGACATTCAGAAGAACCACCAGGAACAAGAAGAACAGAGGGTAGGGGGCGCCTGGGTGGCTCAGTTGGTTGGGTGTTTGACTTCCGCTCAGGTCACGATCTCACTGCTTGTGAGTTCGAGCCCCATGTCAGGCTCTGGGGCTCTGTGCTAACAGCTCAGAGCCTGGAGCCTGCTTCGGATTCTGTGTCTCTGTCTTTCTCTGCCCCTCCCCTCCTCTCGCTTGCTCTCTCTCTCAAATTAAAAAAAAAAAGAAAAAAAAAAAAGAAGAATGTAGGGTAGAAAAAAATAAAATGCAGAAAGAAAAGTAAATCAATAAATCATCCTTATTTGTACCAGTTCCCATTTTCAGGCCTGAGTACTACAAAGGCACCCCCAGCCTTCATTAGCTCTGCGCATTAAATCACCAAGCTTAGAGACAGCTATTGACACTTGCTTATTAGCTTTTTATTCAGCTAACTTGAGCTCTAGGAGCTTATGTAAAATTAAGAACAAGACTCAGGAGGAGCACGAAGTTGCTACACAAAGAATAGCTCTCCTACAGTTTTCTCCCAACTTCGTGCTCCAAGGCCTGCCCAGCCCTGTGTGAATGCTCTGGGAGATTCAGACTTGGGGGTGGGATTAACTCTGTGGTACGGAGCTGTGTTTTCCCTGCCTCCAATTTTTTTAGATATTGAGAAGACAGTCTATGACAAACACACTTCATAGTCCATGACTTATAAAACCTCCAGGGCCACCAGGCTGCTGGTATCTGAGGCTAGGGTTTTGTATCTCTCCAGCTCTCCTCATCCCCATGACCTTCAGCTTTGTGCTTTTCACAGAACTTGAGGCAGCTGTGATGCTCTACCCCCTGGGCTACCACCCAAAGTCTGGAAGTCCTGATCATGAGTATTGAAACCCTGAAGATCAACACTTTGCTGCAGAGATGCCAAAGCAGAAGGTTCTATAATGTTAATATTCATTCAGAAATTTTTTATTTGCAGTACTGAAGTACACAAACATATTATAAATGTCTAATAAAATAAAATCTGAGAAAAAAATGGCCTTGAGGAACCTAGTTTGAGAAATTAGTAAGGATACTCCCCCATTTTGGAAGAGGGCACCTGTCAGCTGTTGTATGATATGCCATTTAGGGAAAATTTTATCTTTTGAACAGGAAGAGGGAGATTTTTGTCAGATATAGCCAATAACTGAATCTTAATCCATAATGTAATCCATAATGACCATAAAGGTCATTAACAAGAAGAAACACAACACAAACTGACATATCTGCTGACTCCAGATATCCCCACAATAATGGGTATACTGAGGATTTAGCTGTAGGAGGCTACCACAAAGAGAAACAGGAGGAATCCTCTCTATTGAAACATGTACAGAAGTATTTCATTAGAATGCTCACCAACACTGAAATGTTTGCAAATAGAAATACCACATATGACTTTCTTTAGCCATCCAAAATGCAAAAGAAAACTTTTAATCCAGCATCCTCCCCCCCAAAAATAACCCTAAACCCATGTAAAAAGATCAAAAGCCATCAGAATGGGAAGGGGTAATTCTGAAAAATCAACATTGGTTTCAGTACCTTAAAAAAAAAAAAAAAAAAAAAAAAAAAAAAAAGGGTAGCTTCTACTCACTGGATTCATTGGTCAGACAAATTCCAGGGAGGTGGATATTTATGCTATGGGCCACGGCAGAGCTTTCCCCGTGTGTCATGTGTGTGCCATCCCCCTCCCCAAACTCCCCCGCAGCCTGGGGAGGTGCGTGGCATTAGATCCTGTTCTGAGACTCAGCGCGAGAAGGCTGCTAAGGTAACACAGAGGGGCAAACAGGCAGAATGAGGATTTCACATTTCTTTTTTTCACTTGCAAGTGTGTTTCTTGCCTCTGTACTTCACATACCTCTTGAGTATTTAGAACAAGGATGTGTATTTACTCCTCTTTTTACTACTCCATCATGAGCATGAGTGATGCTTTTTACCATCAACCAACAACAGTGCCAGCACCAAATAAACCAATACCGTTAAGTCTAACGCTAATACACTTTGCCTGCCAGATTTAAACTGCCGAGGAATTCTTACCTGGTGCTCCTGTGTACATGATGGAAAATACGTTTATTGCTATTGTAGCAGCATAGAACACTGGAAGTGCCCGGAGGCCATTGGGAACAGGGTCCTCCTGTATGATAATGAGATAAAGTGGAAGGTCAGGATTCAGGAAGCATCTGGAGCCAACAGAGGCAAAATGATATAAAACACTGTTACGAGAAAGTCTTCCAAACTGTGGTGTGGCCAAAACGGCTGGCCATGTCACTGCCGTGTGATCTATTGCACATCAGCTCGGGCTGTCTCTCCTACACAATTACTATTTCAAAGAGCACTATTGTGGCCAGCAGACACGTTGAAGCACTAAAATCACATGAGCTGATGTCAGATTTAGAAACAGAGAAGAGCTGTGAGGTTAGGCCAGTTCCTGGGGACTGAAGCCCGGAGCTCAGCATCTACTTCAAACCCCGTGGTGCTCACCACGCCAGCTAGTTTCAGGTTTGGCCCTGAAAATTCACTTTCAACAAATATTTGAAGACTCAACCCTCGGATGATGCCCCAAGAAAGCCAAATTACTTAAACACCACTGCATTACTACTAGATTTTACATCGCCCTATTGCACAATACATTTTAGCTCTATTAAAATATATAAAGCAAATATATTACCGTATGCTATGGCTTTTTAAGATCTTTCATAAGTTATAGTATTTAACCTTCAACTATTAAGAATTAAAAAGAACTGTGGGTTCTTTATCTAACAAAAAATGTATTTACAATTTTAGGTTTCTGGTACATTCCCTAAATCTAATACTTCAACAAGAAGGGATACTGCATATGTTTTACACTAAATAACATCTGAGAAAATCTTCAAAATTTAGGGTTTTAAGCAGATCTACAGAAGATTTTGAAGCAAAAATACGGACTGGGAACTCGTCAATACAGCACTGGCACATAGATGTCACTTAATTCAAAAAAGGACTCCTTTCTAATAACCATGTAAGACACTGGTACATTTATATAAATCTGCTACCTACCCATGATAAAAGGAAAATTAGATCTAACAACTGCTCTGAGCCCCAGGAGTAAGGATAAATGGAGATGATGAAAGATTCCTAGTGTCAAATGCAAACATGTATGGAAATCAAGTATGTTTGCAGAACAGTACAACCCATTAAGAACCTATTCTGGAATGTCTCAAGTAGCCATCAGCACTTGTCAAGAGGCTTGAGTTGAATGGTAGTGAGAGTAAGGACCAGTAAGAGCAGGGGTAGTAAGTGATTCAATTACATGAGAGTTACAGCCAGCCCAGCAGGGTTGACAAGCACAGAGAACATGATGCCAGGGGCCAGGGCAGGAGCCAGGGATGAGGGGCAGTAGTCTTCTCACCTGTTGTGTATCATGTGACAAGAACCCAGGCTCAACTACAAACAAAATGTGCGGGTGCTCAAATGCCCACTGCCCCTCATTTCCAAAATGTTTTCTCAGGCCAAGAGTTACTAAAGACTCCTGAAAGTGTCTAAGTCCTGAATTTACATTTTATTTTATTTTATTGAATCACCTTATGTTTTTTCAAATAACCTATTCTTAAAACTCAGATGACAACTATCTTCAGACCTCTCTTCTCTCCTCCCTCCTTCCCTCTCTTTCTTTCCTTCCATGCATCCATCTGTCATCTGCCACCTAAGCATTCATCATTCCCTCTTAAATGTTCCATCAGTGTCCTTGAAGTGCCAAGCCCAGTGCTGGGCACTAGAACATGAAAGCAAGCAAGTAAGTCATGGTTCTACTCTCACAGACCTAACAGTCAGAGACAGCAAATAGGCTGCTAAGCAAGAAGTAAAACACCACACAGCACAACAGTGCAATGATGACAAAGCACGGAGCACTGCAGAAGCATGAGAGAGAGGAAAGCAGCCAGAATTGGGTGGGAGATGAAAAGACTTCCAAGGAAATGGCATCTCAAGGCTGAGGAGCAGTAGGAATTTGCCAGGCAAGGGTTCCAGGCAGAGGAAGTAAAAAAAAACTGAAGTGTAGCAGGTAAGAGAGGGTGGCACCTTCCAAGACGTAAATAAATACTAGTATGGAGAGGGGCCAAGAGAAGGAATGGTAGAGCTGTGTACTGATCCAAGAGAAGGAGCCCTTCAACAGACTACTAGACAAAGCCAAGGAAAACCAGACGCATCTCCAAGCAAGGATACACTTGAAGGAAGGCCTGTCCCTGATGGGCTCAATGCGTACCACAACACAACAATCAGAGGCATGCTTTATGGCTTATAAAATATTGCAACAAGCTCTTGACAGTCAAATAAAAAAATACAATCAAGTTTTGTTTTGTCTTTTTATGGAATACAGATCTCAGTAATTTCTAATTTTAATCTCATTTTAATTTTTGATAAAATGTACCCCCCCAAATAGGTATATTACCTTCTTTTTACCCTTTCCTCAGGGATAGGAAAAAGTCAGTGTCTCAGGCTTGCCATCTCCATTAAAATAGAGAAAACACTCGTATTTGGGTAAAGAAATTCTCCAGATGTTTTTAGTGATAGTCTACTTCAAAATCTTAACACTATCACACTCTGTTCTGTTTAACATTCAGGAAATTACTTTGCCTGTTTGGGTTCTGTGCACAATGCTTGGGGGAGCCAAGTAATACACTAAACCACAGGGCAAGAAACACTATTTACAATGCTGCTTTCTGGGGGAGCCCCTGGGTACTCTCCTCTGCCTACTTTAAGATAAAGTCTAGGGGCGCCTGGGTGGCTCAGTCGGTTGAGTGTCCGACTTCGGCTCAGGTCATGATCTCACAGTCTGTGGGTTCAAGCCCCGCATCGGGCTCCGTGCTGACAGCTCAGAGCCTGGAGCCTGTTTCGGATTCTGTGTCTCCCTCTCTCTCTGACCCTCTCCCGTTCATGCTCTGTCTCTCTCTGTCTCAAAAATAAATAAACGTTAATAACAAAAAAAAAAATTAAAAAAAATAAAAATAAAAAATAAAAAGATAAAGTCTAATTCTAACTGCAGGGTGCTATGCCTTAACAGTGTAAAAATATAATCATTCCTCTGACCCCCTCACTGCTAATTTCTATTGAATACAACCAAAATTAGTTCTAAAACTTAATAAAAAAAAATAACAGCTTCACTTACCTTTTTTAAGATGAAAATTCTGATCAGTATAAACAGCACGCCAGACATGAAACCAGACAACAGTGGGGATATAAACCAGGAAGCAACTGAATAATTAAAAAAAAATCATTTTTAATGAATGTTAAAATTCTATATAACTCAAGTCCTATTTATATGATATAATGATAACTAACACATAGTACATACATTAATAAATATTCCCAGAATTATTCACCTTAACTCAGAACCTAACAAACCTACTTTCCAGGCACGGCTGACCTTCGCACATGTGCAGCTGTCCTCAGACAGAGTCCCACGTAAGTGAGCACATTTTCAGCACAGTCAGGTAAGGGACCCTGAGCTCTGGCCTGAAAAGACAGACTCCTTTGATTCCCACTAAGCCCCTTCTGTCTGCTCATCTTCTCCATCCCTATGGAGACCTGATCCTTGCTCCAACAGTAAAGGTTATTTAAAAGGTGAACCACCTTCCGTTTCCTTTTCCTAGTTCAGCCTGGTACTGACATCCTGACACTATAACCCAGTAGTTCCCAACTCTGGCTACACACTGGAAATATCTGGGGAGTTTTCAAACCCTACTTATGCTCTGGTTCCACTCCCCAAATTCTGACTTAAAAGGTTAGGAAAGGGGGCTTGGCACTGATTAAATTGCTTTCCCAGGTAATTCTAAGGTGCAGCCAGAGTTGAGATACACTGTTGAAGAAGCCTCCTGGGATCTGAGGTGATTCTCCCGGCTGTGTCCCTCCCTGCTTGGCAGGTCAGGGGTCTGTTTGACCTAGAGCTCCAGACGCCACTGTGATTCTTATACAGATGAGTAACCCAGAGGATGGAGATGAAGTAGGAGAGTGTTTTTCACAAAGGGCAGGTTTTTACTTATGGGGCTGAATGGATTTCCCTCTTGCTAAAAGCCAGAGCCAGGAAGCAGACTGTCAGACCTGTTAGACCAGTCCCTCCTGGGAAGCCTACAACCCAGGAGGAGCGCTAGAGTGTTTCCCGTGTTTCCTGAGCAGGGGGCAGACTGGGAGACCTCTCCAATGCAGTGAGGTAAGTAACACTGAGCTCACCCCAGGGTTCCCCATGACCATGAACTCTGCCTCTTGGACAATGAAGGTATTTTCTTTACTAGGGCCTAGTATTTTTCTGACTACAGTCTGATTTCAGTCAGAAAAATTTCTTTTCTGTCTGGGAACAACAGATAGATACTGATTTTCAAAGCCAGATGACACTGAAAAGAGTAGAGTTCAAACTCATCTAAGACAGGGGCACCTGGGTGGCTCAGCCAGTGAAACATCTGACTTCAGCTCAGGTCATGATCTCACAGTTCATGGGTTCAAGCCCTGTGTCGGGCTCTGTGCTGACAGCTCAGAGCCTGGATGGAGCCTGCTTCAGATTCTGTCTCCCTCTCTCTCTGTCCCTCCCCCACTCATGCTCGGTCTCTCTCTCTTTCTCAAATAAATATTAAAAAAATTAAAATTAAAATTAAAATAATTCATCTAACACATAAAAGTTCACAATCTCTGTGAGGAGAAATCTTACTGGTAAATGGACTACCCATATAGGTCTTCTAAACCCTAACATCCAAAGGGGAAAATATATTATAATGGTGACTTTTAATAAAACTTACTCTAGAGAATGTAAACTTTCCTTCTGATAGGTAAAAGAAAATGGCAATTACCAATCTTGACAAGCTCCATCCACTGCACACCTTGTGTACCAATTGCAACAAGTGAGAATCCTATAGTAGAACCAACGATGCAATGAGTTCCTGAGATTGGAAGTCTCAGGAAGGATGCAATGAGCTGCCAAACAGCTGAGCCTATAGGTGGAAAGATTAAAAAAAAAAAAAAAAAGTCAGACATAGAATACGGCATCTCAAATAGCCACAAAAGGAAGAAGTCCAAATTACTGTTCTCCATAACACCTCCCTAGGGTTGATTTTTTTTTTTATGGATTATTTCTTTACAGAGTGCTTAAGTCCTAACAAAAATCACTCATTGAACTTTAGTGAAAGGAATATTCTTCAACACTGAAGGGATAATGATGATTTATTGAAGGAAACATATTTTAAAAGTATTTAAAGTTTTTTGATGTCAGTTATTAACTGCTTTTGTCACATTTAGGTGCTGACGATGAACTTGTTTTGATGTGAAGGGTGGCCAAGACCAAGCAAGAAATTACAGACTCTAGAGAACACAGAGCAACATGAAAGGCTGCATACTGGAAAAGATTTCACTGTAGTTATGCCTATCGTCACATAATGAGGAGGGCTAGATACCAGCGATGTCCTGTTTGTCAGAGAGACTGTAATATACAAACAACAAATCATTACATTGTACACCTCAAATTAATATAGTGTTACATGTCAATTACACCTCAATAAAAAAATAAAAATAAAATAAAAGAGATTGTGTAATTCCACATTGTTTTTTGTAGTTGTGCCTCTCATATGAGAAGTCACCATGAAATCTAACCCACAGGTGGGCATCTGCTCTCAGCCCCTACCCAGAATGCCAGGCATCTTCTATGCAACCTCCCTCAAGTCTTCTAATTCTTTATTAAGTTAAGAGGATCCTTAGTTTTGGCTTTGTGTCCTTTTACCTCAATTTCACCTCCTTTTCCAGGCTTAATGTTTTTCTAGGCTACAGTTCACTCCAGATATTTTCATAAGCAGATCAAATTCTGCAGTGCATATTAAAAGCATCAGCTGGGCGAGATCACTTTCAGAAACAGTTGTCAAAAAGCTCATATAGGACTGTAAGGGAACAAAGGGCTTGGCTGATAAGCAGGGCACGTTATTAATCCCAAATGTTAATTCTGGAAATCTGTTGCTTGGCAGCAGCACTTTTAAGCAAATCCCTGGCATTTTCTTCAAAAATATCTGAGTTACAGAGGATCATTAATGGCTGTGCAGGCCCTAATTTGTGAGGCAATGCTGACATCAGCTCCGTGAGTGCCGGGCAGGCCCACCTGTGAGCCAAATTATTGGCTGTGACCCTGTCTACGTCTATCCCTGTCCCTGGAGTGTGTTGGGAGGAGGAGGGGCCAGCCTCCATGGCAGCACCCAGGCCTCCCCGTGGACAATTCCTTAAGCCTCCACATCTAAGCCCTGAGCTCCTGAATGACTGACTAGTTTGTTTTAAAAATAGAGCCAGAATTTGGAGCATGTTACATGGCACAGAACAGTAACTTGAAAAACATACTTATGATTTCTATTCTTATGAAACTAAAATAATCTCATGATGTTAATAGTATAAACTCACCCAAATGAATTTCAGACCATGAGGTTTTCTTTACTGAAAGCTGCTATCCCTCTCTGGCTGACTTTATAACGTATGTCTTGGAGCAGCAGGGTTTGTAAGGAAAGGTCGGGAGGACAGGGCTGCCTTCAATGGAGGTGGGGGGAAGGTGGGAAGGAGGTGAGAAAGGGGGCCAGTGGGCACAAAGGAAAGGGCTGCAGAAAGGAGGGGAAGGTGAAGGTGGGTATTTGCAGGACGCCTGGCAAAGTGAGAGTGGGGCAGCCCTCCTAACCCTCGGGAATTTCTGAAGGCTGATGGGATTAATCTTCTTAATGTTAAGAAAAACAGTGGGAAAAAAGATATTTTAACTTAAGATAACGATATCTTATAAAGAGGAAAGGATTAAGTATGAAACAAGGGTATAAGACAAAACCTAGGGAGAGTGGGGGAAAGGTGAGCACCTCTGAGGCAACAGATTCCCGGGAAGACGGAAGAGTGGCAGCTCAAAGGCGCAGGGTCACCCAGAAGCAGACCAGCAGTGTGAATGAGCCCGAAGAGGCTCCAGGCTCCTGAGAAGGCTCAGTGGTTAGGGAGCATTAAGGGGACAGGGTACTTCTTAGGGTGGTTCCAGGAGATGGCTTGTTCATGCTTTTGTGGGTATTTCCATGAGAAGATGGGGAGTTGTGAATTCCCAGATTTTTGGAACCATTGGTGGTTTTCAAACTAAGTGGACTATTGCTTTAGGGCTGAGCTCAGCGTCCCAAAAGGGAACTTGTTCAGAAAGTTTGGCTGGCACAAATAATTTCTTCCACCCAATGAACCCAACGCTACCACAACTCTATCAGAAAGCACAGAGACCCAAGGGCTTAGGGAAATGTTTCTTAAGAAAAAAAGGAAAAAATAAAAGAACAGAATAAAAGGATGGGGGAGAGAAAGAGAGAAGAAATGGATATTGAGTTTAGAAGAGAAAGATGGGGACAACAGAATCAGCTTTGGTTCTGGCCAATAATAATTATACCATTGTATTAACAAAGCTCTCATTTGCAAGAAATCCAATTTTAAAAATCTAGGTAACTCACACAAATTCCTAACAAAAACAGGCTTTGAGATTCATCTAACCACACACCAAAAAAAAAAAAAAAAAAAAAAAAAAAAAAAAAAAAAAAGAAAAGAAAGAAACCAAAGCAAACAAAATCAAGTTATTCAAGCAAAACCCCAAATTGCTTTGGTTAACCTAAATTCTAGTTGAGGTAAGTATTCTTCATTCTTTCAGTAAAGAGCCAAAGGCCAGGGGTGAGAGAACTGAGAAACTGGACAAGTTATACTGCTCACATGAAAAGTGAGCAGTGACATGAAGCTCGAGGTTCACAAGGCTTTCTGCCTAACCCAGAGCCTCGCTGTGGCCTCACTAACAATCTCTTTAATACATGACCATTCTTCAGAAGTTCTATCCAACGAAAGGAGAAACTGCTGTTAAGATTTAATTTGATCAGTGCTTTTCTTTATTACTCCCTTACTTTCAACATTTCTTGGGGCGCCTGGGTGGCTCAGTTGGTTAAGCATCCGACTCTTGATTTCAGCTGAGGTCATGATCTCACGGTTGTTAAGACTGATCCCTGTATGGGCTCCTCATATGGGGCTCCTCACTGAGCATGGAGCCTGCTTAAGATTCTCTTTCCCTAGGGGCACCTGGGTGACTCAGTTGGTTGAGCGTCCAACTTCAGCTCAGGTCATGATCTCACAGCTTGTGAGTTCGAGCCCCAAGTCGGGCTCTGTGCTGACAGCTCAAAGCCTGGAGCCTGCTTCGGATTCTGTGTGTGTGTGTCTCTCTCTGCCCCTAACCCACTTGCATTCTGTCTCTGTCTCTCTCAAAAAATAAATAAACATTAAAAAAAAAAAGATTCTCTTTCCCTCACCCTCTGCCCCTCCTCCACTCACGTGGGGGGTGGTGTAGACAGGGAGGCACAGGCACTCTCTAAAAAAAAAATTCTCACCCGTAGCATCCTGACTGGAAAAATTTTAACTTCAGTTCGATATGATTAGGTCTTAGATACCTATCGCGACGACCAAGATGATTTTTATAAATAACTGTTAGTTTTCTAAGGGAAATCCCACTTACATATGACTATGATGAGACATAGATGTTCAGTGAGGGTAAGTAAAATTCAATCATTACAACAGCTGCTGGAAATAAAGCAATTGTGAACCTTACATCTTTAAATGTTGAGAAATAGGAACTCCTTGGCACGTATCACCAGCATACTGTGCTTAACAGTATTCAATACCTTAGTACATCTGTATTGGATATGGATCAAATGCCAACAACTTCTCAAACTAACTTGCTGTAACAAAAAGATGGTGTATAATCTTCTATTTGGCAAATAATGCCCACATTCTGGGCCCTTAAGAAATGCCAGTGACAGTACAGAACTAGGGACCTGTGGAGTGTAGCTGTATTCTTGGTACACCAGCATCTTACCTCCTACTGCAGGACTCTTCCTACAAAAGGATATGTCCTGTTGAAAGCAGAAGGTGGTAGGATTCCTCTCTAACCCTCTTCTCCCTAACCAAATTACCCGTATAGATCAGCTGTCTGCTGGGACGTCATCTCTACCTAGAGGCAAGCAGAGAAAGAGTCCTGTCAGCTGCACTTAAGATATTCCTGCCTGAATCTTGTTCTCAGCTGTAGCAAGTGCAGGAAGGGAAGCACCCCACAGTGCTTCAAGTTGATGGTCACCTTGACCAATGGAGAAATCACACTGTTTGATTGGGTCAATCTGCTTATTAACATGCTTCACTGCCCTTGACACTTTTCTTTCATCTAGACAACCGGAAACCACCAGTATAAGGTCATACTGTAAACAGGTGACACACAAATGGTCTTTTGGCCAGAAAACAAAACAAACATCCCAAATGGAGCTTCCAGAGGTAGAAATCAGAAAATCAAAACAAAAGCCACAAAAAGGATTACAAATAACGTAGAAGACTGGAATTTCTTGAAACACAGGCACTTAAGATTCATCTGGTAACTACTCAAGCACACAAACCGAGAACACAAAAGTTAGTAAAAACTGTTTCTTAGCATCCAAGTATTCAAAACAGTGCATCGTAACTGATGAAATATCTATGGAAATATCAAGGCTATTTCCCAAGTAAACCTTACAAACACATTCACTTAGACAAGTTATTTCTTTAAAATCTTTCAAACCACTTGAAAATGACAGCTATTATACAATCTTTGTCTGGACTTCATAAATAAAGTATTCTTAGCCAAAACTATTTTAACAGCAAAGTTTGCTAAGAATTTGAGAAAATGGTTGCTTGACACTTGAACACTAAAAAAAAAAAAAAAAAAAAAAAAAAAAAAAAAAAAAAAAAAAAAAGAAAGAAATTAAAGTGCAGAAAGCAAAAATAAGATGCAGTAAATATGAAACATCACACCAGTTTCTGAAGTTAAAGCAAAGATCACATTTATGGACAGGACAGAAGTACTGTAGGGAAGGAAGTAGGCCAGCGGAAACGTTTCTTATTGTCGTAAAGAATAATGCTACTTACCAACCATTGCACTAACTTCCCCAGCCATTAGTGTTTCTACTGTCTCGTTGTATAGGTTCACATCAATGATACCTTTTCGAATGGTCTCTCCTACTTTGGCTCCCAATAACACTGAGCCGGTGGTTTCAAATATTGAAGCCAAAATGCATGCCTGCCTCAAGGTCACCACGCCAGAGCCCACAGCAGTACCAAATGAATTGGCAACATCATTTGCACCAACGGAAAATGCCAAGATAAAAGCTATGATAAAACCCAAAATGACCATCCACAAATACTCATCCATGGCCATTTTGGAAAGTGGGCGCCAGGTACTTTTCTCGTGCGGGAATATTTTAAATAAACAAAGCTTGAGGTTATAAACGTCGTAAGGCCGAGAGTTCTTGTAAACAGTGAGTTTGCTCTGGAAAGTGCTGGACAATGTTAGAGCCTGAACAAACTGCTAACTGCTGGTTTTCAAACTACTGTCAGTACAGTTCATTTGGTTGTGTTCAGTCAGCGGTAAAACACATTCCATATTTTTCCTCCCAATCTGGGAAAGCTGTGATGTCTCCTCCTGTAACAGAAAACAAAAGAAATCAATTACCCTAAGCAACCTGTAACAGTTTGTTCTTTCAGAAATAAATGTTTTAAGCCTACTAATGGAATCTAACTTTGACATGTGACAGATCTAACCATAAAGCAACTCAAGGAAGATTATAATTAGGTTAACTGCCTACCCACCCCCCTCCACCAAAAAAAAAAAAAAAGAAAAAAAGCTGGTCTCTACAGTATCAGTGGTTGAAGAAGCATGCTTTATAATTATAGGCTGCCAATTAAGCCTTAATAGGATATGACTTTATGCAATCTGCAAAATATATTTCAAATGGGCAAAAAAAATGAGGATGCAGTTGTAGAGTTTTTGAAATATGTGGAATGTGCCTAATATCTTGGAACAGCGATTAACAAATGTGATTCTGTGACACCACAGGGTATGGCTAATTATCTACCTGCTCATTTACACATAAGGAATGAGCACTTTATGAATACACCATGCATGTATCTGAAAGAAAGCTTACAGTTTCTAGTATAAAGTGACTAGCCAGAGGGTAACAAAGGTGGAAACCGAAGGCCCTTGCAGGAGGAACAGAGAAAGGTGCAGAATGAAACAATCCTATTGAAACACGATTCAGATGTCATGATTCCATGACTACCCATATCTCATTCAGAGGAAAAGCCAGGTCTCATCACACCTTAGAAGACCCTCCAAGGTCTCCTCAGGGCCCCACCCCAGCCCACTGACCTCAGCTCCGTTCGCTCCTTCCCTCGTAGGCTCCTTGCTTTTCCTTGAAAACACCAAGCACTCTCATCTCTGGGCCTTTGCACCTGCTGATCCCTCTGCCAGACAGAAATCTCCTGACAGCTGTGTAGCTACTCCTCACGCTATTTAGGTCTTTGCTCAAATGACATTGTGAAAGAGCAGCCCCTCCCCCCATGCCATTATCCCGTCCCGCTCACCTTCCTTTTTATCTTTTCTACTTATCACTGCATTCATTCATCCATTCTTGTCTGTCTCCTTTCACTAGGGTCCAGGACACAGAATAGTGCCTGGCACATGGGAAGCCCTAATAAACTTGCTGATTACATGAAAAAAGAAGCTATTAAACATGGAGAAAAGACTTGCAATATTCCTCCACAATAAACAGGCAATGTCACAAAATTAATATATCTATGAAGTAAATGTGTCACCAAAAGCTTTGGAACTATGGTATTCTATTATTATATAGTCAAAGTACCAAATCTGTGGTATCGTTTTCTTTGAATAGTATTAGGCGTACAGAATGGTGCCTAGCACAGTCCAGTTCTTCACAGATGCTTATTGAGTTGAACTGAATGAATTAGGCTCATACATCATAGACACAGACAATATAATGATCAATCAACATTAAGGTTATTTAGTAAGAAAAAAACCAGGATGCTAAATTTTATGTACTTTGTGCTTATGGCAATGTTAAAATACATATAAAAAGACCAGCAGGTAATATACTACAATCAGAACAGTGGCTAAATTTGAGTTGTAGTATTAAGGATGATTTTTTTTTTCTTTCCATCAAAAACTGTAAACTGGGTTATATGCTTTTCAAACTAAAGTAGTATATAATAAATCAATAAGCATCTACTGAGAGCCATCTATGTGTGCAATATTACAGGCATATCATGAAACAAAATATATACTAATAGATTTTATCATTTGCTAAGATTTGAAGGCTATGCAATTCTGGAGATTTAGATCCCACATGAGACAAATGAAAAGACCACTCTAAAGGCAAAAGACAATATTCTACTAAAAGAGTATTTTATTAATACCATGGGCACATTAAGTCTACAAATGAAAATACAAAATAGAAATATTTTGGACCAATATTATCTAATCTTAAAGTAGAATTCTTGATGCAATCTTCTTTGCCAGGTTAGCTTGTCAAGAGGGCAAATGAGAAAGAATAACATCAACAAATACTGATTGATGAGCTCCCCTGTGCCAGTCACCAGGAATATGATGATGAGTAAAAATGGATGTGGGGCTTACGGCCCAGTGAGGGCAACACACGCTAACCAAATAAACATACAAATGTAGGACTGTTAGCTGTCATGAGTGCTACGAAGGCAGGAGGCACACATCACGCAGTGTCGTGACAGCACAGTTCTGGGTCTGAGAGGGCAGGGAAGGCTCAAGGGCGATCTAAGGATGGTGGAGTTAACTCTGGGGTGGGGGAGGCGTTCCAGGCACTGCCCGGACAGGAAGGAGCAGCGTGAGGGAGGACAGGCAGGCCAGCATGAGGAAGCTGCAAGCAAGCTGACAGGAGCCCTACTCAAGACTGTGGCCATCATGCAGACAGTCGGGTGCCACAGAAGGGTTTTAACCAGAGGGAGGCCGACCTGTCAGACGTTCATTTTGGAAAGGTCATTCTGGCTGCCATGCAGACAATGGGCTAGACAGAAGGGTGAATGTGGAGAGGCTCCTCCTTCTGCATGGTTCCGGTATAAGGGGAGGCCCCTGGCCCAGCGTGGTGGTGGCACCGAAGGGAAGAGAAAGGACGTAAAGAGGTTTCAGTGGCTCAAGTCAAGTCAACTTTGTGGTGGCCTATGTGCAGGGGCTGAAAGAGACAGCTGGTTACTGACTCATGGACCTGGGATGAAAAATAGCCAAATAGAGTTTTTATATTTTCTCTTTTACACTGTTTCTAGTTTTGTTTTTATATGTTAGGGAGTGGTTCGAGCCCTGGTTCACTCTGGGACATGCTGCACACACAGGTAAATCATAGGAGCACCAAAGAAGGTATATCCTCAGCCCAGGCTTTTCATTGTCTTCACGATCCCTCAGGCAACATTTCAGACCAGGGATTCCCTCTCCTACTCAGATAATCTTAGACAACTTATTTCTACAATCATGTCTATGTTCTTTGATTCAGCAAAGAACACATCACATTACATCCTATAAACATCTGGTTAAGGAGAAAGATGTTTTTCAGACCAAATGACTACTATTTTGTTTTATATTTATAGGGCCTGTTTTTTTTATGACAAGTACCAACACCCTGATTTTCTCCCTCTTCCATTAATTTTTATCAAACAGGAGCAAAATAAAACAAAGCAGTTAAACAAGTGTGCAACTTGCTGCACAGAAGGTGGTAATGCTGCTGAGACGGGGCCACTGTCAGGGGTGGCCAGGGAACATCGCACACAAGGCCAAGACTGTCGAGAATACAGAAGCCCAAATTCAGAGTGGCTGAGGTCTGGCTGGGTATGACACCTGAGAGTGCTGGGTGTTTGAAAGCAGGATTTTGGAGGTGAGCAATCAAATCAGTGGGGACAGGTCAGCTTAATCAACAAGTGATGTTGGGCCAATGTGCTAATTGCTAATTAACTGGAAGGAAGAAAAAAAGATCCCTACCTCATACCAAAATAAATGGAAGATTTAAATGTGAAAACTGAAACCTGAAGAGAATAAGAAAAAAAAAATATGTAAATATTTACTTAATATTGGGATAAGGAAGGGACACCTGGGTAGCTTAGTCGGTTAAGCGCCTGACTCTTTTTTTTTTTTTTAATTTTTTTTTTCCAACGTTTTTATTTATTTTTGGGACAGAGAGAGACAGAGCATGAACGGGGGAGGGGCAGAGAGAGAGGGAGACACAGAATTGGAAACAGGCTCCAGGCTCTGAGCCATCAGCCCAGAGCCCGACACGGGGCTCGAACTCACGGACCGCGAGATCGTGACCTGGCTGAAGTCGGACGCTTAACCGACTGCGCCACCCAGGCGCCCCAGGTGCCTGACTCTTGATTTCCGCTCAGGTCATGATCCCAGTGTGGTGAGCCCCTGCATCAGGCTCTGCGCTGAGTGTGGAGCCTGCTTGAGAGGCAGCCTAGACCTGATACTGAAGAATCAACTCATTTGAGTTCATAGAAATCATGTGGCTGGGAGACAGAGAGGCTTGATGTGTGGAAGCATCACATGTAAATGCCTCTTCTCCTCAGCAATGATTCTCAACAAGGGCGCAATGTTATAACTTCCAGTGAAAGCCTTGGTTCTTTTCTCTCTCCTACAAGAGCTTTTCTGAAAAGGGTCAGAAGATGAAGGAGGGTCAGAACAAGCCCCCTAACTCTCTCTCTCTCTTTCACCCAGTATGAAGCCCCTATATGGCTAAGATATTCTTATAAGGTTACAAGATATTCTTCAATTTTCAAATGCCGCCAACCTCTTGCATTTGAGGAAGAGGGTACATTTGGGAGAGGTACTAGTGGTCTCGTGAGTTCGGTCTCCCAAACCTGTAATGGTAATAAGATCCTCATTCTCTTTCCTCGGTGCCTTCAATGGCTTCTGAGCATGTTTCTCAACTCTGAGTTCTGCTCACCATCACTTCTGTCCCTTGATCTCTGAACCAGCCCTGCTTCCTTCACCAGGCCCAGTGAGCATGCTGGCAGGACTCCCAAGTAAAGTGTTTACAGGTTCTCTCTCTAGAATTTCCTCCATGAGCATCTGCTTCACCTCTACCTCATACCCTCTTATCTACTACACTAGAAATATGAAGGCTGAAGAAAAAGTGAAAACAAACATTCTCAGAATATTTCTAGATGAATTTGTACACTGTCTAAAAACAGGGATGTTGCTGAGTTGTAGCACTTAATAGACATTAATGCAAAAAAAAGCCTGGGTGGGAGGCTCCCTGCTCTGAAATGCTGCTGAAGAGAACATCCAAGATGACCCCTGGTCTTTCCAAGCAAACATACGGAGGGGGTGCCAGTCTTCCATCC